GTGGTGAGCATAATAGATTTGCTTGACATATGTATTCTGTGTGTATTGCTCATAAATAGATGTTTAGAGCACAGCTGTGTAAGGCTCTTTCACTGGGAAAAGGTCCTGCAGAGTCCTGAGCCCCATGGGCAGGATTGGGTACTTAAAATTGACTAGGTTTCTCCCCGAGCTTTGTGGGTTAGGGTAGGTGCCTTATGCTCTGAGCCCTCGGAAGGGGGTGCCTAAATTAGCCTGGTCATGCCTTCAGTCCTTGGTAGGGTACAGGCAGAGTGCTGTAGATTGTGTGGGTAACAAGGTGGAGTAATTAAGTCGACGTAACAGGCGAGTTATGTTGGCAGAAGGGACCTGGTAGACACATATATTATTAGGTCGATGTAAGGTGGCTTCTGTTGACCAGGTCTATAAAACCACCCTCCACTCCCAGAGCCAGGAATAGTATTTAGGATTCCTGTCACCGATATTCTACTACTGACTAGTAAATAGTTTTTAACAGTGAGTTACACGTATGTGTCAAGTCCTCCTCCAGTGGCTGGTCTACCTAGCAAATACTTCTATAGCTCAAATAAGGATCTAAGCTAAGGATCTGAAGGTCAAAGGCTTCAGATCCTGCTGCTGATCTGTGTGGGAAGATGGTATAGTTGCATATGATTCGTACAGTGAGAAGATCACTTTAAAACAGGTTTTTACTTAAAAACTATGAGAAATCTGTGAAACACCAAAATACACATTTCAGTCATTGTCACACATTTTGCTTGTTTAAGCCACTGTTCAGTGTAAGTTGTGTTCCCCTTTGTGCCTAATACACAGAGGATATATGTAAGTCTGAGCTAGCTCTCTGCTTGAGACGCAGACTCTTTAGCACAAGCTATAACGACTTTTAGCTTTGGAAATCGTAGCTTCAATCCCTGGTGCTGGCCATCACATTTGCAGGTGCCCCACATTGGCATGTTGAGAAGTGTACTTTATATTGAGAGGTTGGGGGGGGGGCTCATAGGAAGGGGGAGTGCATAGGCAGAGCTGCTGGTGTAAAGCAGGCAAGCTTTAGCTGCTCGTGGCTGTATCCAATTACTGGAAGTCCATGAGAAACTACAGAGTGTTTCAGGAAGTGAGTGATGTTCCCTCCAACTGAGAGGTTATGTTGTCATTGCTAAACTTGGAGGGTTGTTCTTGGTGCTCTTGTTTTAAATGGTGATAAAATGTTATAGACACACTGAGAATTTACTGAGGCAGGCCACAGCCTCTCACACATTTCAGGAGGGTTGACATAGTCAGGAGCGGCTGTGTAGTTTCTCCCTCTGATCCCCAGGCAGGCGCAGCTCCCTTTCTCCCTGACTGTGAGGAGTTATCCACCGAGCTACACCAAGGCTTTATAAAAAAATTAGGAAATTAACAAACAAAAGCCATGTTTAGTGACAGTAAAGGTTGTGGCAGGGCACACCACCTCTATGCAGAACTTTACAAGCACAAAAATAAGAAGTTATGGGGAAGATTTGTGCATACTTTTCTCCCTTCATGTTTCCCACAACACTATCAAAAACACCTGCCAACGCTCCATAAGGCTTTCTTTCATTTCCAACAGATACTTAAAAGCAATATCTACTCCAACTTTATCAAACTTGCACTCTAATGCAAAACCTAAACACTGACCTCCTCCCTGGTAAGGCAAAATAATGCCCCAAATGCATGGAATGTGTGTCAGTCAGATGTGCTGATCTGTTGAGATAGCTGACATAAACCATATGAGATCACTGTTAGGATTTTGCATTGGAGTTTTAGTTTGAACACCACGTTGAGAACCTTTGCTTTAGACAATCACAGCAGCAATAATATTTCCATTCAGTTTCTGTGAGAGAATGATACCACAACTCAGACAAGGAGACAACTATATTTCCTTGCTGGGCAACACAATTTGAAGACTTAGCTGCCTGTGGACAAGTGATCTGAATTTTTGTCCTCTGCTTGACTCCCACCCAGTGAACATCCATGCAGAGAGCCTGCCTTTAATGTTTTCCCCTAATTTCCTACAATTTCCTGGGAGCAAGTTGAGTTACCATGGGTTTCTGCCCTGCAATTGTACAATACATCCTTTCTCCTCACACCTTTTCCAACTGGGAATGAGTGTTTGAAACCATAGTGGGAGGTGATGATGCTTTTTGAAGCATTAGCTCTGGCATGGATTTCTTCTCAGAAGGAATCGTGGGATTCAAGACAGCTGCTTATGGCATCCACCTGCACAAATATTCTCCCACCCCCACGCAGCTGCAGGGCTCCACTCATGTGGTGGTAGCACAGAGACCTTTGGGGGCATATCCACCTTGTCTTACTCTTTTTTTTTTATCCTCTGTGATGTATAGCGGGGTAGCTTCTGGCCCTTAGAGCTTAGGTGCCTTAGTATTTACATTTGGTTCAAAAACATTGCATATGTAAGGGAAAAACAAGCTAGAAAATGTTCAGCTAGCCATGTTAGAAGAGTTAACAAGATAACTTCTAACTACATTTTTGGGGGATAAGGTAATTTAAATGTTTGTTCTGAATCTACCAAATTGTTCACACTAGCTAAATATAATCCATAAATGCTGAAATTTAAACTGACACTTGGGCAGCGACAAACCCCTTTAAGCTTGTACTGAGTGGCTTAGCAGATAAGTACTAGCTTTCCTATTCTGGGATCAGTTCCAAGAGAAGTGTTAAGTCCAATAATTTCAGCCACCTAATTTAACTCCAAAGTGGACAATACTTTACATTTAAATAATGTAGAATATCTGCTTAATTCATATGACTAGTGATCATACAACACCACTGTGATAAATGAAGGGCAGGGGTAGCTCCCTTTTATGGACACCCAGCCAGCCAGTAGCTATAAAATCCCTCTTGGTAGCTGTTCTCTAATTGCTCTACCTGTAAAGGGTTAAAAAGTCTCACTGCGATGCATAGGTAAAAGGAAGTGAGTGGGCACCTGGCCAAAAGAGCCAATGGGAAGGCTAGAACTTTTTAAAATTGAAACAAGACTCCCTTTTTGTCTGTCTGCGTTTGTACTCCTGGAGAGAAGGGACAGAGCAGTTATGCTGTGAGAAGCTTGGGCCAGATATGAAAAAAAATCATCAGTATCATACTTAGAAACTACTAATTTAAAACCCCAGATATGTAAGAAGATCAGGAAATGTCTAGAAAGACACGATTAGGTTTATGCCTTTTATTTCTTGTGGGTTTCTCTGTGTTAACCCCAGATGCTTTTGTTTTTCTTGTAACCTTTAAACTGGACCTCAAGAAAGTTATTCTTGGTGCTTAATCTTTGTAGTTGCTCTTTTTTAAAATCTAGCAATAGCCTGAGTTCTCAGATGTATTTTTTTTTTAATAAAATTTATCTTTTTAAAGAACAGAATTGGATTTTTGTGTCTTAAGAGGTTTGTGCACAACTTAGCTAGTGGCAGCAGCTGATTTCTTTTTTTCTTCTTTCTCAGCTCTTCCCTGGGGGAGGGGGGTGAAAGGGCTTGAGGGTACCCCACAGGAAGGAATTCCCAAGTGCGCCTTCCTGGGTGCTCAAAGGGGTTCTGCACTTGGCTGGTGGCAGTATCTACCCATCCAAGGTCAGAGAGAAGCTGTAACCTTGGGAGTTTAATACAAGCCTGGAGTGGCCAGTATTTATTTTTTAGAATCCTTGTGGGCCCCCACCTTCTGCACTCGAAGTGCCAGAGTGAGGAATCAGCCTTGACAACCACAAAACTCAAGAGAGAGAGAATATCTAGATAGGTTTTTTAATAGTCTCCCATCACCAGGGTATCTGCATGCAAAGGCTAAATTACCTCTATGGCCTGGTCTATCAATAACAAAAAAGATTCCTACTTATGCCAGTATTATCATCTTTGTCCTCTCATTTTTCAAAGCTAACTGTGAAACATTTTTTTCCTCACTTACTTACAATACTATGAAAAGGCTATCAAGGCTGATAGGCCAAAGATTTGACTTGTATGTTGATTATAATGGGAAGCATGAACACCAGAACATAATTCAGTGTGTTTGATCACAGAGAGCAGGACTTTTGTACAATTCTGCTTTGCTGTCAGCAAACTAAAACAGGGAAGACATCTGGGCATACTGCATAAAGTCCAGCATTCAAATGTACATGTGCATAGTTGCAATTACAGACAAAAACTATCAACTGTTTAGTTATTGAAGTGATAAAGCAAGTACAGTTTTATTCAGTATTTTCTATTTATTACAGGCATTTGAATGGGGAACTGATTTTTAAAAAACAAATTTCATATTATGTGGTAAATTACAAAGGGTATTATTGCATCCTTTTTACCATTTATGAAAACCCCAATAATGAAGTTAGGAGGGTGGCACCATGAACAATTTACCTCCTCTTTTTAAAGTACAATAATTTATGCTCTTACCAATTACTGTCTTTTTAAGTTTAAAAGAGGCCTATTCAATATGTAAATATCTTTCCATCTTCAGGCTCTGATCCTGTGAGAACTTAATTTGACTTCAGTGGGGCTAGTCACAGTGCATTAAGTTAAGCACCTGTGTAGTCTTTTCAGGATGGGGCCTTAGTCCGTGTACAAATCTGTTGTCTAATATATTAAGTATAGTTACAGACAGCTTACCTGAGCCTCTAAAAGCAGCCGACCCCCGCCCAAAGCAAGGGTGCCCACAGCACTACGGCGGCGGGGGGGGGTGGGGGTGCGATGGCAGGGGCAGCAGCGGGGAAATAGTTCCCCTCAGGGAGTAGCTGGGCGTGGGCAGGGGAAGGTCAATGTTTAGTAAGGGGGAAACTAGCCCCAGGGCAGGGGCGATTCAGCAGCTTAACTCCAGTGCACCAGTGAGCTGCGGCGGCCGCGCTGGCGGCTGGCGACTCCCGCCCTCTCGGCCTCGGGCGGCCTGCAGGGAGGCGGCGGGACCGGTAGAGGGCGCCGGGGATTCACTGACGGCCCGGTTTGGCCCATCCCGGCCGCCTTACAGCTCGTCCCCCGGGACCCGCCGAGCCTCCTCGGGCTGGCTCCGGCCTCCTGGGGCTTCTCGGGAGACTCCCCGGCGGGCCGGGCCGGGCGCCGCCCCCCTCCCAACGCCGTGGACCATGTTCCCCAGCACCGGCTCCAACGGGCTGTGTAAGTATCGGGAGCCCCTGGCCAGAGGGGCGGGCCCGGGGCGCTTGGGGAAAGGGGGGCGGCGCCCTCTCTCGGGGGCGGGGGTTGCTGTGTCGGGGGCGCCGCGAGCCCCGGCCCCCGGGCAGGCAGGAGCCTCTGGGACATCTAGCGAAGGCGTCTCTCCTCTCTGCTCTGTGTCTCGCCCCTGCCGTGGTCACTGGAGCCGCGTTTCACTCTGGGTGCGCGATCACGCGTGGTTTCCCTCTCGGCACAAACGTCGATGGAAACAGCCTCCCCTCTGCTCCCCTCAGAGCTACTGCTGTGAAAGCGGAGCACAGTTCGGCTTAATTGTCCTAATCCAGTTCTCCGTTTTCCTTCCTCTCTCCTCCTGAAGTTAATTGTGTGTTACCGACCAGCTGTACCACGGTAACTCCTATGACAGGAAAACTAGCTCCCATCTAGTATTGACGTGATCTTAAAACACTGGGTGAACCATGGCTTAGCCTGGATCTATATATGCCAGACAAGCTGGTTATAAACTGCTTTTGCAACCACATTTCAGCTGTATGTAAAGGGACTCTCAGCTTAAAAAAAAAACCTTATTTCTGCAAATAAAGTAATTTACTGTTGTTCAGAGTTGACAAGGAGCTGACTGAGGCGATAGCTGAGCCATTAGCAATTATCTTTGAAAAGTCATAGAAGACAGGAGAGATTCCAGAAGACTGGAAAAGGGCAAATATAGTGCCCATCTATAAAAAGGGAAATAAGGAAAGCCTGGGGAATTACAGACCAGTCATCTTAACTTCTGTACCTGGAAAGATAATGGAGCAAATAATTAAGCAATCAATTTGCAAACAAACACCTAGAAGATAATAAGGTGATAAATAACAGTCAGCATGGATTTGTCAAGACCAAATCATGTCAAACCAACTTGATAGCTTTCTTTAACAAGCCTTGTGGATACGGGGGAAGTGGTAGATGTGGTATATCTTGACTTTAGTAAGGCTTTTGATACTGTCTCTCATGACCCTTCTCATAAACAAACTAGGGAAATACAATCTGGATGGAGCTACTATAAGGTGGGGTGCATAACTGGTTGGAAAATCATTCTCAGAGAGTACTTATCAGTGGTTCACAGTCATGCTGGAAGGGCCTAATGAGTGGGGTCCCACAGGGATGGGTTCTGGGTCTGGTTCTGTTCAACATCTTCATCAATGATTTAGATGGCATAGAGAGTACACTTATAAAGTTTGCGGACGATACCAAGCTGGGAGGGGTTGCAAGTGTTTTGGAGGATAGGATTAAAATTCAAAATGATCTGAACAATCTGGAGAAATGGTCTGAAGTAAATAGGATAAAATTCAATAAGGACAAATGCAAAGTACTCCACTTAGGAAGGCACAATCAGTTGCACACATACAAAATAGGCAATGACTGTCTAGGAAGGAGTACTGTGGAAAGGGATCTGAGGGTCATAGTGGATCACAAGCTAAATATGAGTCAACAGTGTAATGCTGTTGCAAAAAAAAAAAAACACATTCTGGGATGTATTACAAGGAGTATTGTAAGCAAGACGTGAGAAGTAATTCTTTCACTCTACTCTGCGCTGATTAGGCCTCAACTGGAGTATTGTGCCCAGTTCTGGGCGCCACATTTCAGCAAAGATATGGACAAATTGGAGAAAGACCAGAGAAGAGCAACAAAAATGATTCAAGGTCTAGAAAACATGACCTGTGAGGGAAGATTGAAAAAATTGGATTTGTTTAGTCTGGAGAAGAGAAGAGTGAGAGGGGACATAACAGTTTTCAAGCACATAAAAGGTTGTTACAAGGAGGAGGGAGAAAAATTGCTGCTCTTAACCTCTGAGGATAGGACAAGAAGCAATGGGCTTAAATTGCAACAAGGGCAGTTTAGATTGGACATGAGGAAAAACTTCCTAACTGTCAGGGTGGTTAAGCACTGGAATAAATTGAATCTACATCATTGGGGATTTTTAAGAGCAGGTTGGACAAATACCTATCAGGGATGGTCTAGATAATACTTAGTCCTGCCTGAGTGCAGGGGATTGGACTAGATGACCTTTTGAGGTCCCTTCCAGTTCTATGATTCAATGATTCTATGACATTAGAGGGGGCAGGTCTCTCAGTTTCACTCTGCATTTGACTGCACTTTGTACAATTGGTTCCACAGTTTCCTCCTGTGAAATATCAGCTATTTCCAATCTTGCAACTGACTGTACATGGGTTCAAGAGTCCACCAATAAAGAGTCCATTGCCCTGCCTAGGCAAATTCCCCTGATGTTTGTGTGAATCTTTCATGTAATAAGGAATAGAAAAATATTTTTGAAAATAGGAAAATATTATAAAAACTAGTGTAATTGGCAGGGTAATTTAGGCACAAATGTAGTCTTTGTAACTACTAACTTCTTTAAAGTGACTAGATGTCAAGTTGATGTTAGAGAGACAAGGTGGGTGAGGTAATATCTTTTATTGGACCAGCTTCTGTTGGTGAGAGAGACAAACTTACGAACTTAAACAGAGCTTTTCTCGAAAGCTTGTCTCTTTCACCAACAGAAGCTGGTCCAAGAAAAGATACTGCCTCACCCACCTTGTCTCTCTTAATATTCTGGCACCAAAACTGCTACAACAACATGTCAAGTTGATGTGTTATTTTAAACAAATTTCTATAGACATTGAAGACAATCTCAGAGCTAATGTACATTACAAAAAATTAACTGTGTTTAAAAATGACAGTAAAGAGTTCGGTTAGCTGACACAATGTGGATTATGACATTACGCTCAGGCAACTCCCACCTTTTCATGTTCTGTATGTGTATATATATATCTCCTCACTATATGTTCCATTCTGTGCATCCGATGAAGTGGGCTGTAGCCCACGAAAGCTTATGCTCAAATAAATTTGTTAGTCTCTAAGGTGCCACAAGTACTCCTGTTCTTTTTGCGGATACAGACTAACACGGCTGCTACTCTGAAACCTGTCATTACGCTCAGTGTAGACCAGAACAAATTATAGTCAGGACTGTGTCATCTAACTGTATTCTTTACAACCACATTAAACCATACTCAGATTTTGTAGTGAAGACAAGCCCTTAGTGTGAGCAGATAAGTACTGCAGTTGTTTCGAAGTACAGAATATATAGGCTCAGTAACTGGCATTGCAGGGTGTAGGGAAATTATTTCTTCCTGCTGATTCTATTACTGCTTTACTTATTGAAAAAATAGAAGTTGCAAATCACCGATAGAGGGCAGACAAGGAGAGCCTTCAGATGTAGTGTGTGTGTGTGTGTGTGTGTGTGTGTGTGTGTATGCACGTAGACATATGTATACAAAGAAGGTGTGTGTGTATATACATGCACACACGCGTTTTATGTACTTCCTGAGTTAAATTAAGGGTATGTCTACACTACGAGAGTAGTTCGATTTTAGTTAAATCGAATATGTGCAATCGATATTAGAAAGTCGAACGTGTGTGTCTACACTAAGGACAGTAATTCGACTTTGTCAGTCCACAGTACCAGGGAAAGCGTCGACATTGGAAGCAGTGCACTGTGGGCAGCTATCCCACAGTTCCCGCAGTCCCCGCTGCCCATTGGAATTCTGGGTCGAGCCCCCAATGCCTTCTGGGTAAAAAAATGTGGCGAGGGTGCTTTTGGGTAACTGTCGTCATCCGTCAGTCACTACCGCCCTGCCTCCCTCCCTGAAAGCGCCGGCGGGAAATCAGTTCGCGCACTTTTTGATCAGTGACAGCGCGGACGCCACAGCACTGCGATCATGGATCCCGCTGCGACCATCGCTGCAGTTGTGGCCGTTCTCAACGCCTCGCACCTTATCATACACCTTACCCTGAGGCAGATGCAGAGTAATCAGGCGAGGAGGCTACGGCACCGCCGTGAGGGCCTGAAGTCGGAGAGTAGCACAGAGCTGTCAGAAACCACGAGCCCCAGCGCCCAGGACATCACGGTGGCAATGGGGCATGTGGATTTTGTTGAACGGCGATTCTGGGCCCGGGAAACAAGCACGGACTGGTGGGACCGCATAGTGCTTCAGGTCTGGGATGAATCCCAGTGGCTGCGAAACTTTCGCATGCGGAAGGG